ATGTAAGAGTCTTATATCTGCAATTTTGATCTTTAATTATGAGATAAACTTGTTGAATAGTATGTTTAAAAAGTTTTTTTTCCTAAAATGTCTACTAACTTTGAATTAAAATTACTCTTTACTGCGATTTGTTTAATGATATATAATTCTTTTGTGAAGTTCTCTTTGGTAAGGGGGATATTAACTAATCTATGGATCATACTGTTGTATACTGCCAGCTTTTGTTTATATGGATGAGATGAACTATTATTTATTGTAATATCAGTATGTGATGGCTTATGAAATATCCCAAAACTATGGCCTTTATTAATTTTAATAATATTTAAGTATAAAAAATTGAATTATCCTTTTCTGTTTCCATAGTAAATTTAATATTAGGGTGTATATTATTGATAAAAACTACTAAAAAATTTAACTGTCTACTAGTACCAGTAAAAGCAGTCAGTACATCGTCAACATATCTATGCCAATAAATACAATGTCATGTGTGGTGTTTTTAATTTTTATTTTTTTTTTAATAAAAGTTTTGTGAAAATCTACCAAATTTGGTTTTACTCATTTAAGATGATATGGATTTTCATCAAGTAAAGGTTGAAACAATAAATAATATTTTTTTAATTTTTTAGGATGATTTCTATGAGTATATAAATAAAAAAATGGATTTTTGTAAATTATCAGGTTAAATATATTATTTCCTAAGCGTTCATATTAATAAATACGGATTCCTAATAAAAGTAGAAATACATTTTGTAGCAAATACAATCGCACAATTATTAGGAAACTGTTAAAGAAGTAAAAACTTTTTAAATTGAAATAAATTTTTAATTAACAGTATTTTTGTTTTTAATGAATAAATAAACAAATTAGTAAAGTTTTGTAAATTTTTAAATAAATTATGTTGTTTCTAGTTTCATATTAGTAAACACCGATTCCAGATGAAAGCAAAAATATATTTTTGTCTGTTAAATATTTTTTAGCAAAAACAACACCACTAAAGTTCTATGATCGGAAAATCAACCTTTTGTCGCAAGAAATTTAATAAAACCCAACGCGTAAATGTAGGAACAATTTTTGTGGTAACGAAAACTGCGCTTACGCTCATGGCGCCAAGAACCGACTTTTGGCGCTTAAAATTTAACACTTGACCAACCATGCGTAAAATATTATCATATAAAGCCTGTTGCATTTTCGGGACTAACCAGTTGTTTCCTGTGCTTTGTTCGAGATGTTCCAAATTCTTCCTGTTATCGCTGCTTCGTATTTCAATTTGACTACACTTCCTGTAGAGATGTGGTCAACGATTTTAAGGTATCTAGACCCATTGTCTCTAATTAATGTTGCTAGGTCAACACCTTATTTACTTAACGTCTGTCAAGGAGACCCAATGTTAAGAAAACAATTACAACGAGGATTGAAAGAAGAGAAAAATCTTGCTATAGATTTGATTGCCAATCCACGAAAGATTCTCATAGCTAAGAGAAGATTGCTTGCGAAGCAGGCATTTCACAATGTTTTCGAGAAAAAGGAAAGTTATACAAATATTTTGAAAAGAAAAGCTTCAAGAAACTTGGAAGATAATCATAGACCAACAAAGAAGGTCAAATTATGTAGAATTTGAACCATACAATGTATTAATTATTTTTAGAATTTTTTGTTAAAGTTCAAATGAATAGAAGACTATGGAAGAAATAAAAACTATGCAATTTAAAACAAATTTTGTAAATTTTAAATGGTTTCGATAAACTTAAGATCAATATGTGACTATAAAGAAATAAAAACTTTGTAAATTCAAATAAATTTATATTTTAAATTTAACAATATATTTTTGTTAATTAATTTTAGAATCTTACTCTCAAATTTAAAATTAATAAAAGATTGTAAAAAAGAGTTCATATTATATTTTAAAAATTTCAAAATGGTTCTCATGAAGTTGAGATTATTATGAGACTTTAAAATATACATATAAAAACTTTGTAAATTTAAATATATATATATATATATATATATATATATATATATATATATATATATATATATATATATATATATTTTAAAAAATAACAATATATTTTATAAGATGTTTTCTATGAGAAAATGAATTATTGTAAATAATTAAGTTCAATATATTATGTCATAAGCGTTCATATTACAGTCAAATCAGGTAACTTTGGGACCAATGGGACAATATTAGACAATACCATGAATTTTATTTACTGTTATCGTCTAAAAAGGAAAGATATCCTAATATATACGATAGGACCCATAACTAATTACAACTTCAAACTTTTCTGTAAAAAAAATAAAAACTTAAATACAAATTAATTATAACTAATAAATAACTGACCTGGGATTTCTACATTAAAACTAATGTGGTTTAATCTTACCCGTAGCCTTTACATTAAAAGAAATCAGTAATTTCTCACGATGAAAATACTTTTGTCAATGTTACCCCAAATCCAATATAACTTTGGACCACACCCAAAAATTATATTTTTTTTATATTTAGAATAATTTTTTTTTTATTATTTAAAATTCATGTAGATCATTTTACAGAAACACCAGTAGGTAAATCATTCAATATAATTGTGCAACAATAACAAATAAATTCAGATTTATAATAAAAAACTGGGTCCAAAGTTACCCGATTTGACTGTAATAAATACGGATTCCTAATAAAAGCAAAAATATATTTTGCAGCAAAAACAAACGCAAAATTATTAAAAGAATGTTAAAAAATAAAAAAAATTGTAAATTGAAATAAATTAAAAATATTTTTATTTTATGAGTAAGTAAAAAAATAAAGTTTTGTATATTAATAAATAAATTATATTGTTTCTTGTTTTATATTAGTAAACACGGATTCCCGATAAAAGCAAAAATATATTTTAGTCTGTTATATACATTTTTTAGCAAACACACCACTGACGTTATATGATCGGAAAATCAACCCTTTGTCGCACGAAGTTTAACACGACCGAACGCTTATTTCCAAACAATCTTTGTGGTAACGAAAACCGCGCTTACGCTCATTGGCGCCAGGATCCAACCATTGGCGCTCAAAATTTAACACTTGACCAACCATGCGTAAGATATTATCATATAAAGCCTGTTACATTTTCAGGACTAACCAGTTGTTTCCTGTGCTTTGTTCGAGATGTTCCAAATTCTTCCTGTTATTGCTGCTTCGTATTTCAATTTGACTACACTTCCTGTAGAGATGTGGTCAACAATCTTAAGGTATCTAGACCCGTTGTCTCTAATTAATGTTGCTAGATCAACACCTTATTTACTTGACGTCTGTCAAGGAGACCCAATTTTAACAAAACAATTACAACGAGGATTAAAAGAAGAGAAAAATCTTGCTATAGATTTGATTGCCAATCCACGAAAGATTCTCATAGCTAAGAGAAGATTGCTTGCGAAGCAGGCATTTCACAATGTTTTCGAGAAAAACGAAAGTTATACAAATATTTTGAAAAGAAAAGCTTCAAGATACTTGGACGATAATCATAGACCAACAAAGAAGGTCAAACTATGTAGAATTTAAACCATACAATGTATTAATCATTTTTAGAATCTTCTGTTAAAGTTCAAATGAATAGAAGACTAAGGAAGAAATAAAAACTATGCAATTTAAAACAAATTTTGTAAATTTTAAATGGTTTCGATAAACTTAAGATCAATATGTGACTATAAAGAAATAAAAACTTTGTAAATTCAAATAAATTTATATTTTAAATTTAACAATATATTTTTGTTAATTCATTTTAGAATCTTACTCTCAAATTTAAAATTAATAAAAGATTGTAAAAAAGAGTTCATATTATATTTTAAAAATTTCAAAATGGTTCTCATGAAGTTGAGATTATTATGAGACTTTAAAATATACATATAAAAACTTTGTAAATTTAAATATATATATATTTTAGAAATAACAATATATTTTATAAGATGTTTTCTATGAGAAAATGAATTATTGTAAATAATTAAGTTCAATATATTATGTCATAAGCGTTCATATTACAGTCAAATCAGGTAACTTTGGGACCAATGGGACAATATTAGACAATACCATGAATTTTATTTACTGTTATCGTCTAAAAAGGACAGATATCCTAATATTTACAATAGGACCCATAACTAATTACAACTTCAAACTTGTCTGTAAAAAAAATAAAATCTTAAATACAAATTAATTATAACTAATAAATAACTGACCTGGAGTTTCTACATTAAAACTAATACGGTTTAATCTTACCCGTAGCCTTTACATTAAAAGAAATCAGTAATTTCTCACCATGAAAATACTTTTGTCAATGTTACCCCAAATCCAATATAACTTTGGACCATACCAAAAATATATTTTTTTTTATATTTACAATAAATTTTATTTTTTATTTATTTAAAACTCATATCGCTCATTTTACAGGAACACCAGTAGGCGCATCATTCAATATAATTGTACAACAATAATAAATAAATTCAGATTTATAATAAAAAACCGGGCCCAAAGTTATCCGATTTCACTGTAATAAATACGGATTCCTAATAAAAGCAAAAATATATTTTGCAACAAAAACAAACGCAAAATTATTAAAAGAATGTTAAAAAATATAAAAATTGTAAATTGAAATAAATTAAAAATATTTTTATTTTATGAGTTAGTAAAAAAAAAATAAAGTTTTTGTATATTAATAAATAAATTATGTTTCTTGTTTTATATTAGTAAACACGGATTCCCGATAAAACCAAAAATATATTTTAGTTTGTTAAATACATTTTTTAGCAAACACAACACCACTGACGTTATATGATCGGAAAATCAACCCTTTGTTGCACGAAGTTTAACACGACCGAATGTTAATTTCCAAACAATTTTTGTGGTAACGAAAACCGCGCTCACGCTCACTGGCGCCAAGATCCAACTATTGACGCTCAAAATTCAACACTTGACCAACCATGCGTAAGATATTATCATATAAAACCTGTTACATTTTGAGGACTAACCAGTTGTTTCCTGTGCTTTGTTCGAGATGTTCCAAATTCTTCCTGTTATCGCTGCTTCGTATTTCAATTTGACTACACTTCCTGTAGAGATGTGGTCAGCAATCTTAAGATATCTAGACCCAGTGTCTCTAATTAATGTTGCTAGATCAACACCTTATTTACTTGATGTCTGTCAAGGAGACCCAATTTTAAGAAAACAATTACAACGAGGATTAAAAGAAGAGAAAAATCTTGCTATAGATTTGATTGCCAATCCACGAAAGATTCTCATAGCTAAGAGAAGATTGCTTGCGAAGCAGGCATTTCACAATGTGTTCGAGGAAAACGAAAGATATACAAATATTTTGAAGAGAAAAGCTTCAAGAAACTTGGACGATAATCATAGACCAAAAAAGAAGGTTAAACTATGTAGAATTTGAACCATACAATGTATTAATTATTTTTAGAATCTTTTGTTAAAGTTCAAATGAATAGAAGACTAAGGAAGAAATAAAAACTATGTAATTTAAAACAAATTTTGTAAATTTTAAATGGTTTCGATAAACTTAAGGTCAATATGTGATTTTAAAAGAAATAAAAACTTTGTAAATTCAAATAAATTTATATTTTATAAGATGTTTTCTATGAGAAAATGAATTAATGTAAATAATTAAGCTCAATATATTATTTCATAAGCGTTCATATTACAGTCAAATCGGGTAACTTTGGGACCAATGGGACAATATTAGACAATACCATGAATTTTATTTACTGTTATCGTCTAAAAAGGAAAGATATCCTAATATATACGATAGGACCCATAAATAATTACAACTTCAAACTTGTCTGTAAAAAAAATAAAAACTTAAATACAAATTAATTATAACTAATAAATAACTGACCTAGGATTTCTACATTAAAACTACTATGGTTTAATCTTACCCGTAGCCTTTACATTAAAAGAAATCAGTAATTTCTCACGATGAAAGTACTTTTTTCAATGTTACACCAAATCCAATATAACTTTGGACCATACCCAAAAATATATTTTTTTTATATTTACAATAAATTTTATTTTTTATTTATTTAAAACTCATATCGATCATTTTACAGGAACACCAGTAGGCGCATCATTCAATATAATTGTGCAACAATAACAAATAAATTCAGATTTATAAAAAAAAACCTGGTACAAAAGTTACCCGATTTGACTGTAATAAATACGGATTCCTATTAATAGGAAAAATATATTTTACAGCAAAAGCAAGCGCAAAATTATTAGAAGAGGGTTAGAAAAATTGTAAATTGAAATAAATTAAATATAGTTTTATTTTATGAGTAAGTAAAAAAAAATTAAGTTTTGTATATTAATAAATAAATTATGTTATTTCTAGTTTCATATTAGTAAACACGGATTCCCGATGAAAGCAAAAATATATTTTTGTCTGTTATATATTTTTTTAGCAACAACAACACCACTGACGTTCTACGATCGGAAAATCAACCTTTTGTCGCACGAAATTTAACAAAACCGAACGCTAATTTCGGAACAATTTTTGTGGTAACCCAAACCACGCTAACGCTCATTGGCGCCAAGATCCAACCTTTGGCGCTTAAAATTTAACACTTGACCAACCATGCGTAAAATATTATCATATAAAGCCTGTAGCATTTTCGGGACTAACCCCACCCTGAAAAGGAGGATAACTCCTATAGCAGGGAAATAGGAAAACAATATGTCCTAGAAAATGTAAAACACTTAAGATTTCCACTAATAAATCAAAAAAAAAAAAAAAAAAAAAAAAAAAACTAACCAGTTGTTTCCTGTGCTGTGTTCGAGATGTTCCAAATTCTTCCTATTATCGCTGCTTCGTATTTCAATTTGACTACACTTCCTGTAGAGATGTGGTCAACAATTTTGAGGTATCTAGACCCATTGTCTCTACTTGATGTTGCTAGATCAACACCTTATTTACTTAACGTCTGTCAAGGAGACCCAATGTTAAGAAAACAATTACAACGAGGATTGAAAGAAGAGAAAAATCTTGCTATAGATTTGATTACCAATCCACGAGATTCTCATAGCTAAGAGAAGATTACTTGCGAAGAAGGCATTTCACAATGTTTTCGAGAAAAAGAAAAGTTTTACAAATATTTTGAAAAGAAAAGCTTCAAGGAACTTGGAAGATAATCGTAGACCAACAAAGAAAGTCAAATTATGTAGAATTTGAACCATACATTGTATTAATTATTTTTAGAATCTTCTGTTAAAGTTAAAATGAATAAAAGGCTAGAAAGAAATAAAAACTATGTAAATAAAACAAATTTTATAAATTTTTAAAATAGTTTCGATAAACTTAAGATCAATTTGTGACGGTGAAAGAAATAAAAAATTTGTATATTTAATTAAATTCATATTTTAATTTTAACAATATATTTGTGTTAATTTATTTTAGAATCTTACTCTCAAAGTTAAAATTAATAAAAGACTGAAGAAAAAATTGTAAAATATATTATATTTTTTAAAATCCAAAATGGTTCTTAAAAAAATAAATATGTGACTTTAAATTATATAAGAACTTTGTAAATTCGAATAAATTTATATTTTAGAAATAACAATATATTTTTTAATTTTATAAGATGTTTTCTATGAGTAGATGAATAAAAATTAATATTATTTCTGAAGCATTCATATTAATAAACACAGATCGTAATAAAAGCAAAAATATATTTTTTAGCAAAATCAAGCGCAAAATTATTAGGAGACTGTTAAAAAATAAAAAATGTAATTTTTCATAAATTTAAAATTAACAATATATTTATTTTAATTTATGAATAAATTAAACAAATTAAGTTTTGTATATAAATAAATAAATAATGCTATTTCTAGTTTTATATTAGTAAACACGGATTACCGATGAAAGCAAAAATCTATTTTTGTCTGTTATATAATTTTTAGCAAAAATAACACCACTGACGTTCTATGATCGGAAAATCAACCTTTTGTCGCACGAAATTTAACAAAACCGAACTTTAATTTCGGAACAATTTTTGTGGTAACGAAAACCGCGCTTACGCTCATTGGCGCCAAGATCCAATAGTAATTCTGTGATTTTGTTCAACTCATGTTCTAATTGGTTATTTGGCACGCTCCTATGCGTTATCGTCATGTTGACTGAGCACAGATGGGCAATATTTGTTTATCCAGTGTTGTTATCACATTACTGTTTGGATTTTTGGTTTATAAAAAAAATGGCTTTTTGGAGGCCCTTTGAAAGTGATGAAAATAATGTAATCCCTGAAGGCATGTAAATAATTATAATTTTGATTGACTATTTTTTAAATAAATAGGATCAGTTAAACCTCAAAAAAACTAAATTGATATTTAAATACTCACATAAATTGAAAAATTTAAACAGTTCAAAGTTGGCTTTGGCAGTTTGTTTATATAGGGTGTTTCACAAAGAAAAGGTTATATTTTACTTGCAAATTCTATAGTGGAAAATGTTAAGATTTGGTTTAAAACTGGGGGTTAAATATTAATATATACTGGGAAAATTTATAAAATATAAAATCTGTACGAGAATACTTTATTAAAACAACGCGCTCTTACCCCTAGTGACCCTACATAATTCTATGCAGAACGCATCAAAGTTTCTTCTGAGAGTAAAGAAGAATTGGAGGAAGAAGACAACGAGGACGAGAGGGATGATATTAACCAAAAATTTGGTATGTAGATGTCACCCTCAACTCAAAAAATTATTCGAAATATGTACCACCAATTAAAATTAGAAAATAATAGATCTAATTACGGTGTCATAGAAAGAATACACATTTGACAAAAATTGCAAAACCTTCAATTAGAAAAGTTATTACGAGCCAAGAAAAAAGCGGAATCAAAGATCTCTAGTTAGAATATTAGAAGAAAAGTTTTGATAATATCGTGCCGTATTTTCAAAAGATTAAAAATTAAATAAAGTTGTTTCCCGGTTTCTCTTACAAATCTGACAAAACCACTTGAAAAGTGCTCCATTCTTTGAGTTTTAGATATCCTACCTTAAATAGAAGACAGTATATTAGGGAATCTTAAAGAATTATAATTTTACGTAATGAATACGTCACTAGAGTAGAAGAAGCTCGACAAGATAGATTCATACTGTATATTGATGAGACTTGGTACAACACTCAAGATATTGTGAGAAAAGGATGGAGTGATCAATCTGCTAAATGTTCTGTGAATGCTCCTCCAAATAGAGAGAGGAAAACGTATTATAATATTACATTCCGGTAATGAAAACGGTTTTGTGTCGAATTGCTTGTTATTATCAGCAAAGGATATTTTGAGTTGTTTAATAGATTAGCACCAATATTATGACATCTAACTTGTTCGAGAAATGGTTTGATGAACAATTAATTCCTAATTTGCCACCAAATGCTGTTATAGTAATGGATAATGCTCCTTACCACTCTCGTCAAACTAGTGAAATTCCAAAAGCGAAAGCTCGAAAAGAGGAAGTTTCCGCGTTTTTGTACAAAATGGGTGTATTATATCCACCTACAGTTTAAAAAAAGATTTTCTTGCAATATTGAAAGGCTTAAATCTCAATCCTAGCCATGTTGTAGATTAGATGGATACGGCATTCGTTCAGACCGTAATACATTTACCACTGTATTATAGTACATTAAATGCCATAGAATTAATTTGGAATAATATAAAAATGGAGGTAAAAAAAATTAATCCTGCGTTGTCTGAAACCGTTTTATATGTTATCAGAGAAGTTGTTGGAAGTGTTCATCTCAAGAATTATGCACCAATTGCGTTCTCCGTCTTACCAAAATTGAAAATAACCATCGAATATTTACGGCTCATTCTTGCATTATAAACCTGATGACACGTCAAGTGAAGATGATAGTCTTGATATAACCATATATAACGTGTTGAGAGGGCTTGGATGCTTCAATCTCTTTAAAAATTAAAGCCAGACTAATAAGAGGATACTAGTAACAGTTGTTCAAGAATTTTTCGTAACATCCTTCATTGATTTTTAATATTCAATGTAATAATTAAATACTTCAAGTAACTGAAATTTTATAGTTTCATGGCGACTTTTATTACAAGTCGCGAATATTTATTTCGAATCAATTTCATAAGTGTTGCCTTTAAAACTAAATTTAGTAATATTTATTAAATAATCGAAGAAGGATATTATGTGAATAATGTGACAATATTTAAATACGTATAACATTTCCTCTTTAAAGCGTAACATACAGCTAATAGTCCGTCCCTGGGTCGCAGTTAAACGTGTTTTTATACGACATCCTTTGTTTTGCCGAAAAAGAAAGAATATCTTTACCTCCAACTATAGTGTAAGGAGTTTTATAAAAAAGTAGTTAAGAAATATATAGTTGCAGTTTTAGTTTTAAGTACCGTGAAGGGCCCTTTTTGTGTATCGGTTGAAAGCGGTTTATCCTACCGGTCGAAGAAAATGTCTACTACGGCTGAGTAGAGTTGAGTAAGGCTTTAAAATTTTTTTAAAAGTATCATTAATACTAGATAACTTAAAACTCACCTTTTCTGCTAGATTCCTCTAATCTAACTTGATAGGCTGGCTTATCTATTGAGGTATATTGGACAACGTCCATACTATTGACTACTTCAATGGAATTGTTTATGACAAACATTCTTTTGGGAATCAATGGCTCCGAAAGATGTTTCTTCCGACCATGTAGCGGCCTATACCGCAAATTGTTATTCACTATTTCCATAGGTAAATCCGGGCAGATGCATTCCATATTTTCGTTTTTCAAAAGAGTTGTATTTAAATCTTTTTCTATTTTGTTGGTTGTTAAGGGGGCTTGATCTCTGTCTCTGAAATTGGAAATATTTTTTGTTAATTGCGTTATTTTTGAATTTACGAAAAATATTCATTTTTCTATTAAAGATTCTACCTACGTATAAATTTTAGAGAATAGCTTAACAGTATTTTTAGAAATGTTTCTGGGATGTTTTGTAATATTTATAAAACATTGCAAATGTTTCAATGTAACATTGTTGAAATATTTCCGAAATGTGTTTGTGCTGTATGGATACATAGATCATAAGCGAAATTAAATCCTATTTATAAACAATGAAACAATACCCACTAGAAAGATTGGGATGATTAAAAAGATAGGCAATACATTATACATGATACGCAATTCTATTTATACATATACTGTTATGAATAGTAGGCTATTTAAAATTTTCATGAATAATGAATAGTTATTTTGAATAAATTTGTAGGTATCTAGCTATTAAATCGTTATATGTTTTGGTCATTAAATAAACTATGTTTTTGTTTTATTATCTATTTAACATTAACTTTTAGTACCTAAGTATTAACAGCTTACTTCAAATATCACTTTTGGCTCTTAATACACAAATACCTAGCTATTTTAACTAAAAGTGCTACAAATATGTTTTCATTATAAATAAAATTGAAGATGTTTTTCTTATGAATTTAGACATTCAAGGCGTTAGAAATAAATAATACACTATACACTTACTTTCGATGATTCTCAAAAAACTGAGGACACATGAGCAAATTGTTTAACAAAAAAATCTGTGGTGTCTCCTTGAATTCCCATTTTAGCACATCGACAATTTGTTCGTCTTCTCTAATAGCAGAACCGACTCTAATATCCGAAAAACCATCAGTATCCACTCTACTGGGTCTTTTGCTGCCGGGTGGATCGTAATCTTCCTCATTTGAACAACAATTATTACCCATTTTTAGAAAATATGTTTTGGAAAACGTCGCATTATAAGTACTATTTCTTCTAACAATGCAATTTTATCAATATGAATCAGATTTGTTTCTAATACTAAGTAAAATATATTAGGTATATCGATACTTAATCCGCTGGGTAATGGAGATAAGATAACATAATTTTTGATTTCTGAATTATCTCTAGTTTTTAATATTTTTATTTTCATTTTGATTGTTGTAGTTTTGATAAAAATTAAATAATTTATGTTTATGGGTGTTCCAAAAAGGTTGTGCCAAACTTAAGAAGGCTATGGGGGACATTGTGCTGACTATTTTTGCACAGAGACCCCTAGTCAAAAATGGGCCGTTTTGGCTCCAGAGTCATTTTTGCTTAAAAGGTCAATTATTTTGCTTTAATTCAATATAATTTTTTACGGGAAATAGTTTAAGTTATAGATAATATATTAAAGCGAAATAGATAAGAAACAATAAGCACTTGTGTCTAGATACAAGTTTATCAGTATTGCATTCCTTGACAATTTAATTTTAGTCGAAATCACAAAAGTGCTTCAGATTCGTTTCTTTTGAGAGAATGTTCTGCGTTTCAACTGTGAAATTGTTTGATTTTACGTATGAAGAGTATGCATATATGCATTTATGGTGAGGCAAGATGAAATACTAGAGAAGCTGAGCGGCTTTATGCTGAGCATTCTCTAATCGCCGACACCCTTCTCGAAACACATTTGCGGCAGTCCATCGTCGATTATGATAAAAGACAGTTTTAAACCATCAGGAGGAACCGGACATCTACGACTTACACAAACAGTTGCCTTTGAGGGAGAGGACATCCACGAACTACACGAACACGGGGGGTTTATATTTGCCGCGTTTGAGAATCCACATCGATGCATTTTTTACATCTCGAGCGTTTTTTTTATCCACATCGGATACATCTACTACATCTACATCTGCGTTTGTTTATCTCAGATGTACCTGTTCAGATTACATTTTTTACATCTCGATTTGAAATGAGATGTGAATGAGATGTTCATTCCATGCCAGAAAGTAAGTGTTCTGTGAAGCCAAGTTTGTCAATTTATCCTTTGTTTATGCTAGCATGAATATATATATATTTTTTTTTCTCTCCTGGGCTCGTCTGACTATGTGTCTCCGAATAACACTGGAGCCTATTGGCTTATTGTGTTTTACCCTATGTTAGTTCATAGCACCCACTCTATCACCTTTGTACCTTGTACAAGTTTGTACAGATCCTTGGGTGAGTGGGTTCTATACGTTGTTGGATCAACCTGGGGTTGTCCAAAAAGAGCCTGTCTTTTGCGATCTAGAGCTTCGCATTCGCACAGTATGTGTTTGGCCGTTTCTGGTTTCTTGTGACATAGTCGGCACATGAGTTCCCCATTGTACATACCAATTTTGTTCAAGTGTTCCTTTACTGGGGCGTGCCCAGTCATGAACCCTGTTATCACTTTCAACTGGTTCCTATTCATTAAGAGTAGTTCTCCAGTTCTTTTCGGACATGGTCTGCCTATGAAGGCTTTTACATGTGCCTGTTTTGGGGTGCATGAATATTAAAATGATTAGTTTGTTTAATTTTTGTTTAGATTTCAAATTTAGATTGATTTGTAGTCTCAAAAGTCAAAAACTTGTCATTGACATTTTATCACGTGACCAAATAAAGTCTGGAGCGTTTGTTTATTACATCTACATTCAGATCTAATTCTCTATCACGTGATAAAAATTTCACATCTCAGATGCATCCGATGTGGATTCTCAAACGCGGCAATCATATGCACAATACGTAAACACGTTTCTGCGCATGCAACTCCGCGCTTGGGTGCACTGAAGTCCGTTTTACAATAACAAAATTGTATTAAAATTGAATTAACATTGAATAATTTAATAAGATCTCGCTTAGTAACACACAAAAAGTATTGTTTCAAAAATTTTAATTCATATTTTACAATAAATTAAAAAAACATGCATTCACTTAGTTATTTGTACACTGTAAACCTGGCTTTCTGTCCGCTGCATGACTGCTGGCTGCCCGCTGTCGCGGGCCTCGCGCGCCTTTACTGTCGAAAATAAAAAAATATGGTTATGGTTGTCGACGAAAACATGTGAGTCAGAGTATTTTTATTTATTTTAGTTTAAAGTTTTAGATATAATTTATTTAGGATTATTTAAAATTAAGTAAAGGTATTTTGATGCTTTAACATGTTTTCACCAGGCAGAATTCATTATAAATGCATAATTTCCAATTGTAATAGTATATTTTATAGGCCCATTGTAATGTATTGCATCCACATACTTTGATTTTCTTTAACTATACGGAGAATGGTCGCACTGCGCAGCTTTCTGAGTGCCTTTTAAAAGAATATAGAAAACTCCGCCATTTTGAACCCTTATTACGTGTTGCCTACATCTTGGCGCAATATTTTTAATAGGTGCGTTTTAATCATCCGCTTCTGCTTCTGAATTGTCAGTTTTCTTGTTTTAATCTGACAGGTTAAAACGACTAAACCGACAATTCCGGATGCAGAAGCGGATGATTAAAACGCACCTGATATTTTGCTTGCTGCTGTCAGTGTCAGTGAATATTATTTTTGAAGTCACAGTTTATTAGGCATTCCAACGACCTGTCAAACAATAGGTGCCAGTGGGAAATTCTTGTATATTTAAGGGGGTAGCGACATAGTCTTGCAACTTGGACGCTATTTTTATTCGAAGTAGTACTCGCCAAGCCTGCCAATTTATGAAGAAATGTATAGGTGGGTTTTTTAAATATTATTTTTATTGTGTTTGACATAAAATATTTAAATGTAATCCATTATTCATGATTTTACGTAAAGTAGATAGAATACACCATATGTCGCCACCCTTAGATATACCAAACCTGCCCACTGGTAATTCATTTGTTTGGAATGCCTAATTGCTAAAGAATCAGTTAGCTCACTCGGACCAGTTGAAAGTTCTAAAATAACATCCACTCCAGAAAACTGCTGTTTTATTATAGGTGGTTGTCATATATTGTATTATCCGAGTTGCACAGTGTATAAACTGAAACATTGAGATCAAAAGTGCCGACGCAGAGTGAGCGATCTGATTCTTTAGCTGTAAACTGTGTCACAGGATTCAAAATGACCGCGCCCTATGTTGGGCATGTCGGACCTCTCTCTTGCCTCGTATAGTAATCAAAGTATGTGATTGCATCTCAAGTAATTTAAATATAACGCCTAAAGTAGTAAACGGAACAACCCAACACGAGCCGATCTTCGATGCGCACTCTACACATGGTGGCAGTTATGAAGGTAAATCGAGCGTGTGTAGACACAAGGCCGTTTGATGGCAACCATTTTGTGAATAGTAAATCATATTAATGTTAAATGTTTAAAAGAAACCCAGTGACAATAAAAGTTATATACCAGTTTAAATCGTGATTATTTATGCCAAACCTAAATACATAACACCCATTTCAAACGTAAATTTTAAGAACAAACATTTTTTTAAATTTCCTTCTGATATTAATAAAAAAAAAAAGGAATGGTGCCGAATTTTAAACAATCCACTCATTTCACTTACAACCAATCATTATAAATTATGTGAAAATCATTTTGATACAAAATCATTTACAAACACAAATCGTTCAAGACTGCTAAAATTTGCTTTGCCTTTAGCACCCTTAAAACCAGATACACCAAAGATAGTAGTACTTAGTAATATTGTCATCACACCTCCAAACAGATTACCTGTGAAGAGAAAGTTAAATTTTAATAATGTAGATCAAAATTTCAACGACAGTCATTCATCAAATGACTTTGAATTATTACCTAAGAAACAACGTTTAGATAATGGATTTTTAAGTAAAATTAATGAAACTCGAGTTAATAGTTTATCTCCTAGAAAGAAAAAACTTTATTTTTTTAATAGAAAACAAAAGGGTCAAATTTTCAAATTAAAAAAGGCCCTAATTAATTCAAAACGTAACATTAAAAATGCAGTCAAAATTTCAGAATCAAAGATATTTCAACAACTAATCTAATTCAAAAAAGATGAAACCTTCTTGGACAACATCAGATAAATTTTTTAAAACGTTTTATCTCATTACCTAGTAAATCCACTTTACAGTCACTTTTGAGATCAGTTCCATTTGAAACGGGCATTAATAAATCATTTTTAACAGGCTTAAAGAAAGGGATGCTAAAATGAAGCAAATTGATAGAAATTGTGTTTTATTATTTGACGAAATAGCTCTTACAGAACAACTGACTTTGGATGTAGCTATACTCTGTTTTTAAACTAAGAGGAGCGATTTAAATTTAAGTTGGCAATTCTGTAGACTTCTTATTGGTCAGATTGCAGTCAGTTTCACACATTACTTTTTAGCATGAACATCAGCCTCAGAGTAAACATCAGCTAATAATTGATATTGTTGACAGTTCTGACATTTAATAATTTGATATCTCATCATTACTTAGTTTTTTACTTTATTTCGTAAATAATAGTTCTTCAGTAAGCAATTGTATTGAAAATCTACAATTATGGATCCTTCTACACTGAGTATTTTTAAAGGTAGCAATTCGTGAAAAGCCCTATAAGAAAGGGAAGACACCTTTTTATTATACATGTTGATTCTGAAGGTTTTGTAGAAAATGCATTATTGGTTTTTGTAGGTAAAAAGATGGGAGATTACCTTGAAGAGATGAATTCCGAAGTATTTTAGATAAAACTAACATTATTACTGATTTTTTAAAACTAAAAATTGATGAATTTCTAACCAAAATGATTAAAATGTAACTAAATAGTCAAGTAAATTTTATTTATTAGAATAGAATAAAACCATTTACAAAATTGTTATAACATTTAAAACACCATCTACTACTTTAGGGATAATCTTAATTTAGCACAATGAGTTAACAATACTTTCACAAAAAATATTTTAAAAATACTTAAGGACCGATTCCACCGTTGTGTTAAACGAAGTTTAAAATTGCATTAACATTAACAATGCCATTTTAATCTCCGTTTAACACAACGGTGGAATCGACCCTAAAATACATAGGTATGTATGAATAGTCCACTTTACAATTAAAAAATATATGTTGACATGTAGTGTTTGTTATAAAAATG